AGAAATGATAGAAAAGAAATTGGCTTTATTTATGATGGGGTCACATAAATGCATGTATCATTTTATGAGTCAAGCTCCATAAAGTTTGATGGCTTCAAATAGGAGCTTCCTTCAGTGGTTACAGGGATGGAAAATGTCCCCTTTTTTCCTTCGTTCCCTTGGGAATGATTGGAAATGTGGAAAGTCCAGATTTGTGCAATGATCACCTTGACATTCACACACTTCTTTTGGCTCTCATTATTAAATAAGTGGATGTAGCCCTCTAATGGGCATTTCTCCTTTGAAAGATTTTGAAAACAAATGCTTCATCTGATGGGCCCAGTTATCTGCTGGACAGGCTGGAAGGCTGCAAAGTTAGCCTGGGTCTCTGAGATTCATCCTAGGAAGATTTTGTAGTAACAATGAGTAAAACCTGGACAAAAACTACTTTTTTGGAAAATTAGATTTCATGTTCATTCCAATGAAATTAATTAAAGGCGGTTGATATGATTGCCCACATCGGGGGTAATGCCTAAACAATCTTAGTCAATCTCAAAAAGCAGTGTGAAACCTGGGCAGGACACTTCTGGGAAATATTAAGGCTCCAAACTAAATTGAAAAAAACCTGGATATTCTGGAAGAAAACAAACCAGTTCCATACTGGCACCATGGAAACCAGGTAGATGGGTTTGTGAGATCAGTAGAGATTCTTATCCAACTGGGTGGGTCATATAAAAGTTGCATTGGACTACTAGAAAGTTCTGAGAGTGTAGCTGATATTGGAATGCTGAGAGAACTTTCTGGAAGAAATCTAGAGCAAACCCTTTCTGTATTCCATCAAGAATAATGGGTACAGTGTAGATGGCAGTGGGGATCAATATTTAAAGAAGACTTTATTTTCTGTGATACTTCTCATGCTGTGGATAATTTCCCATTTCTGCCACATTAATCTTTCAGGTTGGCAGTGTTTTTTGGATGTGCATAGGTAGCACTCAAGAATTCCTCCTCAAGGATTTCAGGGGCCACCTGGAGTCCTAAAGTCAGTGGATGTGCTATGCACCCACTTCCAGGGCACAAATGGATCGTTTGGCCTTCCAATGGTGTATCCATCATAGCTGTCATTCATTCATCTTGCTGCTGATCAATCCCTTTTTCCCTCTCCCAGTATATTATATTATTCTTGAGAGCTAAGTCATCCCACAATGGGTCCAAATTATGTTATTTTGAATCTGGTCATTTGTGCCTTGAGTAAGCATCTAGACTCTACTGTCCTATTATTGTAGTTGCATGTAAATTTACAGGATGAGCCTTAACTTGCAATCTGCATCTTTTCCCTTTCATTTCAGGATGACCCGGATATTAACATAGAATGTATGTCTGAGGAGAAACATTCAAACAGCAGAGTTTGCAATGTCAGCTACCCCTTCTTCCGGGCTAAAGCAAAGGTAACTAGAGATTCCTAAATGAAACATGACTATCAGCCTAGGGTTTGGTTGAATAAGTCATTCCCTGTCTGCATGTTTAAAGATTCCGGCTTTTTACACTGTTGCTGCTTCCCAGAACAGTTCACATCAATTAAAATTTGGCTCACATTCTGGAGATATGGCAAGGAAAGAGAGAGACAAAAGAGGCCAGTCATAGCTCTTGCTGATGGGTGATATATGAGCTATCTTTCAGCTATCCCCTCACTGGACAGCTGTCAGTAGAAACAGAACACTTTATTTGCAGGGTGGACAAAATAGCCCTTTGCAGCTGCATCTTTTAAAGCTAGCAGGAAGAATAGAGTGGGTTTCCATCTTGTCATGAAGTTCTTTCTGTAGTGGAACCTGGACGAGAATAGGTTGGCAGGAACAATTTAAAATTTTAGGAGAACCCCAAGACTCATCAATCAGAGCCAGAAGGCAAATACTGATTCAAGTGGGCTCATACCAGAATCTACCTCTCATGTGCCTCCATATAAAAACCCATTCCCTTTACGTGTTATTTTTCAGCAACATCTTCACTAACAAATATAAGATTGGATAATTCATAGAGTGGCTGAGAAACCCTTGTTACTTTACTGAAAAGCTTGCCTTCTTTCTATTTGTCCTGCTCAGAAAGCGGATGTGTCAGGCGAACATAGCTTTGTGGTATCCTGTTAGATAACTCTGCTAGTAAACCAGGACCAAAAGACTCAATGACTAAAACTCATTGAGATAGATGCCTTTATAAATATTCATTATATTACATGGAAGCTTGGCCAAGGGTTTGTATGGTAGGAAGAACTACACGAGATGTGTCTGCGTGACCAAAGATAACTCCAGAGCATGAAATTAAAGGCTGACTCTCTCCAGACATTGACTGAGTAATGCTGCTGAACACAGATTCCATATCACGTAATTGCAGTTGCTTTTCAGGCCAGAAGAGTTTGTTAAGAATTCCAGAACCATTAAAAACTGGCAGATTAATATTAGCTTTTCCAAGTCTGTATTGCCAAATAAGAAAATAATAGGTTGGCCAAGAGGTTTCAGCTGCATTAAGATGGTCCAGCATCTTAAACAGTCTTTGAGCAGCCAGTTAAAAACTAGAAGACAAAACCAAAAGCTTTCTCCCTAATTAAGCAATTTAATTATTTTTTTTGAATTGGAATTTTTTGAATGGCTGTTGACAGTTTAGCTCCCAGTTTCATTTCCTTCTCATTAATGACTTTTTGGGGAGATGGAAGAACACAAAGGTTGCTGAATGTCAGAAGTCTTAAATAGCACTTTATCTTCTATGCTTTCTTTATGTTAAGGATCAATTAAAAGTTCTAACCTCCCAAAAGTCTAAACACAGATGAAATTTTAGACCAGAATATTATAAACTGTTCCAGCAGTAGCATAACAAAGAATGCAAATTATTATTTTGTGGTCATTCTGTGCTATTTCCTTCTGAAATAAAATATAAACAAAGCAACAGTTTGAGATGCTGAAGCTGAGAAATCTGAGAGCGGACTTTCAAAGTTCAAGGAAGCAGATAAATTTATTATTCTAGTGTTTCTGATAGCTAGAATTTAAGTCAGAGGTCCCCAAATTCTTCTGCTCATCCGCCTTTCATGAAGTTTCAGATTGTTCATCAACCCTCAAGTATGTATTATATAAAAATGATTTAATAACTAATAGTATTACTAATAACAGCAACTCTTTGAATAGTCCCATTGATCTTTGGGGGTCAATATTGACCAGCTAGGGCAACTCTGATTTAAAATGTTGAATGCCAAGCTGCTATAATTCACCAGCAACTTGTGATAATTCCCCATGCTTCAAACCTCAGAGGTGCCTTTCCTTCCCCTTTCCCCCATCTATGGGCAAACAATTCCCTCTGCCAGCTGCCCCCACACACACTATAAGCCATAGCTGGAAGCCCCCTGGGAAGCCTGGTCTTGGTCTCCTCCATGGGACTCCATTAAAAGTGAGTCATTTGACATTCCATTTGATGCCCGTGTTTTGGAGACCCAAGTTTCTGCTTCTCCTCAATTGATAAACCAGGATGGCTCGAGGGAGCCTGCTTTTTAAATTATTATTTTCAGTATCCAAAAGCTACACATGATGTAATGCCAAGTTAAAACAGTTAACCTTGGAACCTGGCTTTTTTGTGTGGCAAGGGGAGACTTTTATTGACATTTCATGCGTTGTGGAGAGAAATGAATCTCTCTTTTTTGTTTGTTTGTTTGTTTGTTTGTTGTTTCATTTCTGCTGAAAATCAATTGGAAATAACGCCTCCAACTTTCAGCTTTTTGCAGGACTTATTTTTGAGTTTTATTGGATTTTTATTTTTAAATATACATAAATATCCATATGTGAACAGTGTGGCCTCTAGGTATAATTCATTTTGATACAAGTAGCAATAATAATATTAATAATATTTGTTACATTATTCAAATTTATGTAATCCTAGTATTAATATACATATTTGTTTTAAAGTAGTCATTCAATATTTCAATGTTCCATTTTAATGCCAATGATATAATTTAAGCATACATAGTAATATCATCTTTCAGCCTCTAGTCTTTCCCTCTAGTTATTGCTTATATATAAATATATATATATATATATATATATATATATATATAT